TGCAAATATTTATGTTTATGACTGTTGTGATTGATATCTTATTTAGAATTGGTTATTATATATTGATTAAATCAAGAATGACGCATCGGATTTGTCAGAAGATTTAAGAATATAGTACTGTTAGTATTACACTATTGAAATTGATATACGTGTTCTTGCTAGAATGTTGATGACGTCATCTAAATTTTTGTAATTGAGTAACATACATTTTTATTTAAATTTAAATTATGTACTTCAATTTTTTTGCTTAATAAGAGTGTGTGCTATACATTAACCAACTCAGAATATATTTAAAGAACGCTAGCTTATACCGTATGATCCCAAAATTTTTTCATAAACGAAAGCTGTGATCATCATACGTAGCGCATGATAATATTCAGAGATAACATATTAGACAGAAATAGGATAAGCTTACGTACAATTAACTCCTTTCAGGAGAACTATTTTTTATCATGTGGTACTATTCAAACTAGGGCAAATAGTTACCAATACCACAAAACATACTCCTTCGAAGTTTTAAATTAACGTAAAACTTGTCAATTTTCATAGAAGATAAAATGAAAACAATTTTTATAAATTAAGTAATTGTTTTAAATTATGACTTAATTATTTTAAATTGTGACTTTTGAGTTGATTTCTAACTAAGAAGTTTTATTTAAAATTATTAATCGAATTATATTAAATTTGCCAAAAATATATTTTTGCAACCTTGATATCCCTATTGGAGGTATTAAGACTGCTATTGGAAAATTAAATCAAAGTAGTAAGATAGAAAAGGATAAACGTGGAAGGAAAAGTCCACTACAGAAAAAGAACGAAGATATAAATAAAAATACCAGAAGTACTAAAGCCTGTTATTGTGGCTTGCATAGATATATATAGTAAACATACATAGAGTCGAGATTTGAGAATAAAAATAAAATAAAACGGACTCAAACGGAACGGATGGAAGTTTGAAAATCTATTTCAACAAGTATTGTACTCCCAGTTTAAAGTAGTTTTTATGACAAGATAATAAATATTATCACCTCATTATTACCCCACGACGGACAATATGAGTTGAATAACAAAGTACGGCCCTACAAGAAACCTACCACTTTCTTATTTATGTCTAGGGATTTACTCCATTGTCTCGATCATCAACGTCGAGACAATGGACCTATCATAAAAACCACTTTAAACTGGCAAGACAATATAATAAACGTTTGGTGCAACACAGTTGGTTCAGGCAAACTAAAATATGACAGGAAACAAATAGTCCACGTGGACTAATTTATAGCCGTGTTTGTTGCTAAGATGACTAGGCCTTTCGCTCCATCTACCTCCGCAACGATGAGTATACCATACAACAACTTGTCTACAGTGAACAGAGCTCCGTTTTTAATAATTTTTTATATTTATTGATTAAAAAAAGTTTTCGTGTTTTTTTTTTGTATGTGTAACATGTAAAATAACTTTGTCGTAAATACCTACAGTTTTTTTCTTTTTATTAAAAACTAACAACAATTTTTAGAAAATTACGACAAACTATTGTCAAGTTCAAATTAAACCTTCATACAATTTTTTTAGTTTTTTAGTATTTAATTAATTTAGAAAATAGTTTTTACGCATACATTCCGACTTTCCCGTTGTAAATCTAACCTGTTCAATTTCTGGGCTCAGTTTCGCCAATAACACTAGTAAAATTGCATTCATTGTATTTATACCTTATAAACATAGATTATTCATCCTATAAAAAAAAACGCAGTTGCATCCAGTTTCCAGAAGCAGAGAGGTAAACTTAAATGTGTTTGTGTTTTATTCGATCAAGTGTGGTGTAGTGAGTGTCGTTATTTTTAAGTGTTGTGAATTTTATTATTTATTAGTTTTGTATGTATTAATTGTTGCGATAAATTCTGTTGAATTGATTTATGGTTAAATGTAGTTTTTTTATGAGCATCAGGTAAAGAGGTTTGAAGAATAAAAATGTTTTGCCCTTGGGAAAACAAATTGGCAACACCAAGCACAAGTGGTGAAAACAAAAAAGATGACGATGACAGTGATAATGATGTATGTAGTGAGGGTGACAATGACAGTGATATATGTAGTGATAGTGATTATGACAGTGACTATATAAACGAACAGGCCAAACAGATTTTTTTGGAGCCACAAGTGTGGTAAAATTAGCAGCACTTAACTGGAATTCCGTGTTCAACTATGACAAACAAAACTAGTTAGAGAAGAAGCTGTCAGAAAAAGAGTAAGATGCTGGAAAGAGTAAGGAATTGAGTCCGGCCACAGCAAAATTACTAAGAGATACAGTCTATCAAAACTGTGGCAAAAATGAAATCCGAACGATAGAGACCATCAGTAAACAATTGTTAGAAATGTAGTTTTATGTAAAAGAAAATAGTTCACAATGGATTAAAATTATGTGGAAAGAAAATGGAAGACTGCAATGTAGACTACCATAAAACATGGATTCTGAGGTTTTTGAAGAATTTTTTAATGCAACAGGATTTGTATTTTGATGAATCTTATACCAAGGCAGAATTTCTGGAAGTTCAGAAGAACAATTGAAACGGAATTTGTAGTAGAAACAATATCAAGAAATTATTACCATACGGTCCTGAGATTACCTGCATACTATTGTATTTTCAATCCAATTGAGCTTTTGTGGGCGCAGTTAAAGAAACGAATTCGACGAAAAAATATGAAGCCAAAATTTGATCGTGCTGTGATGGACTTGATTAAGGAAAGAGTCAGCCAAGATTTCTCAGAAAACTGGCAAAAAAGATTAAAAAAGCTATAGAATACCAAGATCATTACAGGTCATTGGGAAAGATGATCAAAAGCGGAAATGGGCAGTTCATCATAGATGAGGACGAAATGGAAGAATTATAAGTGGTTTTTGAATTAAATTTTTATGTGCACAGTGGTAGTTATCGATTATTAATTTTTATTACAACATTTGAATGCTGCCTTTTTTTTTAATTTATGCAAGTAATGAATGCTATTTATTAATGAAAAGCGTACATTTTGAAAATGTTTTTTTAATTTTGGCAAGGAATACTTGTAGTTTTTCGAGAAAGCTTAAATTTCTTTAGCAGAATGTTTTCAATTTTTGGGAACTCTATGTACGGCTACTATATCTATGTAAGCTACAATACCAGTTGTTGCTTTACACTATTACAGAAGCTGTTGTAAAAGAAATTATCCTCACTCTAGCCTTTTTGGAACGATTTTAAGAATATCTTCACAATCGAATTTAATTATGGCTTAAGAAAGATTCTGTACTAAGTTTACAACTTGTAGTTAAGAATCCAGAACTGAATAGCAAGATGAATATATTTTACATTTAATAAGGAAGCATAAGAAAACTGATAAAGAAAGAATGAACTCAAATAATACGCTGTATCTGTTTTTGACAGCTTTTAAAATTCTTCCAGCTGACAGTAGTCACCAAAAATACGTGGAATCAGAACATTCGAAAATGGAATCCGGTAGTCCACGTAGGTAATATACTTTACTACTACTGAGTGGAGAGGGATGAAAATGGATATATTTACACCAAATTAGTTGTGTACGTACTGTTGGGACAAAACAATCTCTATGTTACGCTGTAGAACTGAATTTTACTGATTCTATGGACTAAAAAGAAATTTTCACCAACACTGATAAAAAATGAAAAAAATGAGGATTGGTCAGCTGTAAATTGGTCGAGAATAAAGTGGTTGTCGTATGGGGAAAAAAATTCCAGACGACTTTTTCTATGAAAACAACGTCATTTCCTTGTTTATGTCTTCTACAAATAAAATCTGTTCAGCGTGATAACAATTGGTCAAAAACTCTTTAAAAAACTCTTCCCATTTCATTTAGCATGGAACGAAAATTACTTCTGTAAAAGAAAAAAGAACAAGGTTTGAACTTCTTCGATGTTTTTGTCGAGACACATTTCCTGGGAAATCCATTTCATGCATTTTTAATTGGTCTTTAAGTGTTTTCATTGTCAGTTACCTACTGTTGATAAACTCGAAATAGTACAACTCACACTGTTATAAGTTTTATTTTCTTTCTTTGTATTAATTTAAGATTAAAATTTCTACGCTCTGAACTATAACAGTGAAAACTGGAATGACCAAAATTTCACTTCCTTTAAAAAAATATTGTGCATCGCGAACAATTTATTATCTAAAGAAATAATCTCTGCATAATTATTTTTATCTGTTTTTTAAAAATACTTAGTTCGTATCATTTTTATCCCATCTAGTTCTAGATATGATACAATCTCATGTACCATATCTATTTTATTTTATATCTTAAGAGCATTGCGTTTATTTTTCAATTATAATTCCATAAAAAATGATACATATTTTTTCAATGGAATTCTGAGATTTCAAGAATTTGTACATTACGTAATAATTTAAACAAAGCTATATGCAAGCAATTAAAAAGTTTAAAATTTCGAATAAATATAACTCAAAAATGTAGTTGCAGGCAAAATTTATGCATCGCCACTGATAAAACAAAAACACGAGATAAAGAGGTTCAACATTTACGTGCTCATAATCGGCATATAAATAAATAAGATGACAAATACCTAGTTTGTTCAGTGGAGTTGATCCGCGGATTAGTCATCCAGGTAGCGCAGAATCACTTTACCTAAATACCTAGACTCTTACTCAAAGCTAAAGTCATTTCTTTAAGAACTGCCACAAAGGAGCCTCTGAAGAATTTTAACTAACTAAAAAAACCCAAATTTCGAAACATTTCATTAATTCTAGGCGTATTCAGAACCATATGAAAATATTTGCACAGTATGTTGACAAAAAGGGAATCACCAGCCGCGGTTAAAGGGAAATATAGCGATAATCGACGAACTTTAATATTGACACTCTAAATACAAGAGATAATTAAAACAGAAAAATGCCTTACTACGTTTCGTGTACGAATGACATAATTATGCGGAGTAATAACCTGCGGACAAGATTCGATTTTAAATATCTACACCGTGCACTTACCGCAAAGTGAAAGTAGAAATAAGAATAAATTAACACAAAACAAAGATTTCGAGCCCATTATCGAAGTCACACACTCACGAATATGCTGTTATTGTTTTCTTCTCTTTTATTTTAATTGTTCTTTGATAAGTCTGTTTGACAACACATGATTTCAAATCTCGCGTCTTTCGCGAAGGCGTTTACTACAACTACTGCGTGTTCGTGCGCTCTTTATCGAAAGTAGGCGTAGCGGCTGTCGTACGGGAAGGAATGTTTTGATGAGGATTTAGGCAACTATCCAAACACGTGTGCATCTGGCTGGACGTGATAAAAGTGATAAAGTTGTTTTGGAATTTACGAAGAGTGTGAGTGTTTGATATGATAAGAGGATTCTTGCAGAGATGGTGGAAGCCGGCATCTGTGTATCTTCTTCGTGCTGAAAGAATGCTGCATTTTATTTGCCATTTGTTTGGTTGCCATTCTTGGAATTGTTTTCCGCTTTTTACAGTTTCTACGTAATAATATATTGTATATTATATAAAATGGAAACGTTTTTAAAGTAGAGTGGGTCAAGAAAATTGTTGAATTATAGAGAAATAATAATAGTAATAATCTGCAAACTTTTTGACTACCTTTATTTACACATTATACAAATGTACAAATGTACAAAAAAGTATCTAAATAAATAAGAATTTTTGTAAATTCCTTTTTATTTTGTATTTTAGCAGAAAATGATAAAATTTTTATCTTTACTACCTACGATTATTATTTTCGTATTTGTTTTTGTCAGTTAAAGTATCTAAGTATTATGAAACAGCACAGTTTTACATTTTCACTTACTTGAATCGCATGTTTCATTCTTGAGAAAGTTACCTGTAATAATACTAAATTACTTAAATGCGATACAAGCACAAAATGAGACACGCCTTAATTTATTTATTTGTTGCAAAAACTAGCAAGATGTTTAAAATAACCTAAAACTATTTTTTAACGTGTTTCACGAAAGGATGGCTATACTCGTATTCTCACATTTTCGAGAAAATGGGCTGGCTTGTTATTAATTTGATTCATAATAAATTGACTCATTCATTAATTTTTTTGAGTCACCCTGTATAAGGAAACCTAAAAAATATGAATGCAATGATAAATTATAAGTATAATCTGATCATATTTTGCACATTTCCGAAAGAATTTATTCGGCAAAATTTTGAAATAACGTAATCAATTATTTGGGGTTGATAAATAGGTACATTTTGATTAAAAAGTTACCATTCTTACAATAACCTCAAAACGTCTGCAATATTTCAAAGTATTCAGTTTTGTAATTCTTGATTTAATCAATAAAATAAATTGACTCGGTCATTAATTTTTTTGCGACACTCCATATAAGCAAATCTAAAAAATATGAATGCAGCGATAAATCACAAGTGTTGACTTATTATATTTTGCACATTTAAGATAAGATTTATTCAGCAGAATGTTGAGGCAACGTGATCAATTTTTTAGGGGGGATGAACAAATACATTTTGAACTTTAAAATATCTCCTAGATTTCAAAGCATTCGGTTTTGTGGTTGATGATTAAATCAAATTTTAAATTTTTTTGAGTCATTGTGTATATGCAAATCCAAAAAATATGAATGGAATGATAAATTACAACTACAGACTCATCATATTTTGTACACTTTAGATAGGATTTATTTGGCAAAATTCTGGGCTGGCGTCATCAATTTTTTGGAGAGGATAAGTAAATATCTTTTGATTAAAAACCTATCATGCTTATCATAATAATTATAATTTTTTTTTTCCAAAAATTTGGACGTGTCGGGTTAATAGTCAATACGGAGTCATAAACTACATGTGTAGTACTATGTTATTTTATACCATTTAAAACCCGTTTACTATGTACAGTTTTGAAGTGATGTCATCACATTTATTGATCAGATTATCTGTCTAATAAAAACGGCAGACAAACAGACAGACAGACGGAAAGGGGAAACCTATTTCTTCGCACCCTAGGGGTCATGAAAGATCGAGAAAACGTAAAAGTAGAGAGTCGGTTGATGGATTCGATTACGAAGTTATTGAGTTGTCAAAGCCTTGACATTTTCAATTTAAATTTTTGAGAGCTAGAGAGTCCAGAGAGAATATGTTAATAAAAGTTTAAAAAGTAACAAGCCATGGAAATCTTGTAACTTAGTTGGTAATCATAATCAACATTAGTAATCTAAAGTTTCTTCAAAAAGACTGACATTCTTGATGTCGACTTGGATTATCAGTTATCACCTATTTAAATTTATGAATTGGGTGAGAAACCTAATCACTATTATCAACTTAAATATCACCAAAAATCATTATTATTAAACTAATTAATTAAACATTCAGAACTGGATAATTTTACTGCATATTTATATCAAACTTAGAAATTAGGAATTAGGGGTTGACAAATTGTTCCATAATTTTGAGTTGTGATTCCTATCCATTATTTTCTACTTTTGATCCTGAATTAGATTCCTCCAATGAATGGAAATATGTTCTCAAACGAGGAATTTCCGAAGTGTTTTGTCCAATCCAATGTTTACTAAAATTTCTGGAGTACATTTGGAAAGAGCCTGAAGCCATAAATTCTCTATCTTATTTTTGGATGAAGGCCGAAAAGTGATCTGTTTGTTATTGTAGGATTTAAAGAAATTTGTATTGACAATAGTATGGGGACAATCTAAGGACCTCCTGACCACTTTCCCGTAGTGCGTCGTCTTCAAAAATCGATTTTCTTATCAGTTGTAAAAAGTAGAATTGAATCCCACAAAATTTTGATCAAAATAAATACTGTGATTACTCAAACACTCTTGCATTTGACTTTTTCTACCAGAAAATGTAGGTGGTTTGGCCAATTGCATCGAGTGGTATGGTGCATTGTCCATTCCCACTACACGTTGTCGTAGCAACCTGTCTAACGCCGAAATAAGCTGATTAATCACCCAATTTTGAAAAAGTGTTACGGCTATCGTTTTCTGGTAATCTTTTTCGTTATTTTTCGAATAACTAAAGATAAAAGACAACTTGCATGTAAGTTTGTAAAATTTTGAACCTTAATATGTAATTTTGTTAGGAATACTTTTCAAGTCAGAATTGTGTACCCGGCGGAAAATGGAAGAACTTTTTTGGTAAGCCTATGTTTTGTTGAGGTACATACATCGTCAATAGAAATTAGGATCTGAAGTAATTTTAGCTGCAACTACATGTTTTTGTTACATAAGATTTTGTAACCGTGTGTTTGTAACCTATAGACTTAAAAATTTTGAAAAGTGTTGTTCTTCCTCCTTGAAATCCTTATTGTTTTCGTGCATCAGCTAACAGCTTGCCTACAGCAAAAAGTCGTTACAGATTTTTTTGAATTCAAAATCATCAAAAATTTCGGTTGATTTTCTTTTGCCAAAGGATAAAGTTGATAAATTTTCGTCTGTGATCATAATAATTTTCGAGACAATCGCACGTCTCACCTATAAAGATATTTTGAAAACAAACATCTACAGGATCTTTGTAAGTTACAGAAAATATGCCAATAATCCTTAAGATTATTTGCTGGGTCTACTTAAGGATTAAGGTCAGGATGATTTTTACGAAATACAGTATATAACATTTTTAGGCGACCAATAAAAAAAGAGATACTTTACGACTCGACTTGCAGCTCAAAAGTGTTATATTTTCGGACTGAAATGTCATATCTGCTAAGCTTTCTTCGAAGTCCTTGTGTGTTTACCTTACATTTTCTTGAATGAAGCATCTTTAGCCAGCAGAATTCTTCTTATATCCTACTAAGTAAGTTACCTTAATAATAAGATGTGATATCTATTTGTCACAATTATAAAGACTACTGAAGGATGAGGGATCGAATATATTAAACATTTATGAAGTGAGATGAGATTGGTTCCTAAATGTTTGTCACAAAATAGCCTTTCTCATGCATTCTCTTAATTGAAATGCAAAGTAGACTTTCGATTTTGTGGCAAATCCTTTAGGGTTTTGGTTCAATAAGAGAAGCAACAGTAAATAACGTAAATTTTTTATTTTGCCGCCTTATTTATTTAATTTACTCTAATTATGTGACCAATTATACAATCCGGTTGACTAGTGTGTTTTCGAGAATTACTAAAATAAAGGCGTCATAACTCCTGTGAGACTACAGTTTCGACCTTCTTTGTTTTCAGTACTTCATCACTGTCTAGTATCTCCCCCAAATACTACAAGGTTATATGGCCGCACTAAAATTAATAATGGGATGTTATAAATCCTTTTGTGCGCCTGGTAACTGACTCAAACATAGCCTCATAAATCAAGAATTTGTCTCAATATCTTGCCACCTCAATATCCATTGCTGGGTAATCCGCACATTTTTGGTACATTAAACCAAATACAATTTGTCTGTTCATGTTTCGGAAAATACTCAATCTTCTTAACCGTCTCTGGAATGCAGGCACGTAACCAAGGGGGGGCCTAGGGGGCACAGGCCACCCCAGCGAAACCTTGGTGCCCCCTTAAATTAATTTTAAATTTTAAAAGTAAAGCAAATTCGAAACTTCAGATCAGCAGTAAATTTTAGCTATGGGTAATCTTATGTTCTTATCTTGTAATATAACTCTTTTGAGTGAAGCAATACTGCTGTGAACAGTTTTGTCGATAACTTTTTTAAACAATTAGCCGATATGACTTTTTTAAAGGCCCCCTTATTTGAAATTAGTGCCCGGGCTGGGCCCCTCCAAAATAAAAGGCTGGTTACGTGCCTGCTGGAATGGAAGACGGTTGGCAACATGTACAGTCGCAAAGATTTGCAACTGTGGGTTTGGCTTATTAACTGCTCGATTGTCGTCATCACAATACCCTAATTTTACAACAGCCATATTATCTTGTAGTACCTATTTGGAAGACCTTATATTTCAGTGGTTCTCTAGCATTTGAGAGTATTTACTTTTATAGGTTTAACGGAAGCAGCAGACTAGCATTAGTGAGATATAAAATGTCGGTAGTGACTCTATGGGTTAGATTTTTATCGTAAATGTTGCGCACTTATTAAATTGCGGTTAGTCTTTCCACACAGTGGTTTAGTTCAGTAAAAAATGCGCAATAATTGCGACAAAATGTACCCCATCGACTTCCTGGCAATTTCTAATTTTTATCTAAAGAGCGGCACATTTTTTTTTAAATTTCAAAACCGCCCTTGACACCAGAATTATTTATAGACATGTTTCAGTCAAAACATTTCTAAAATTGGGTTACTGACATGAAGAAAATAACTCAGTTCGGTAGTAAGTGGCTTTCTCGTAGTTTAAGCAGATGAGCTTTTTTCTTCCTGGGCGTAAGCTAAGGCACTTTAGTTATCGAGTCCGTCGACATTGCATGACCCCTACAGCGGGAAAAAAGTGGTCCGCCGTTTTCGTCTGTCTATCGTCTGTCTGTGTTTTTATTAGACAAATAATCTCCGAAACTGCTGGATCGATTGTTGTCAAATTTTGTATGTATATTAGGAATATCATGTAGATGGTACAGTGCTAACCAAAATTTTGTTAATTATCCTCACCAACAATTTGATGACGCCCATTCATTATTAATTGACATTACCAGAATTGTGTGAAATAATATACTCCTATATTTGTGGTGTATGACCCTATCTTGATTTTGTTTATTATTTACTTAATTCTTTATTTACTGTTTGATCCGCCTTGTTCTTTACGCACACAGTATGAACCCTTACAACTGGCGTGACGCAGTGTTAATATTTTGCCTTACAGACCAAGGTATTTAAAGGTAAAGCTCTAAATACCTTATTACAGATCCAGGTCGCTACATTTTTATCGCTTCCACTCAGAACTCAGATGCACATGTGTTTGGTTAGTTGCCTAATCCTTTATCAAAACATTCTTTCTCGTCGAACAGTGGTTACACCTACTTTCTATAAAGAGCGCGCGAACACCCAGGCAGTAGTTGTAGTAAACGCCTTTGCCAAACACGTGAGATTCGAAATTGGTTGTTGTCAAACAGACGTGTCAAAAACACTTAAAATAAAAAAGCCAAAACAGTAACCGCATATTCATGAGTGTGTGTCTTCAGTAATGGGCTCTATACCTTTGTTTTGTATTAGTTTTTTCTTTTTGACTTTTTCACTTTTCGGTAAGTACATAATGTAGATCGAATCTTGTCCGCAAGAGATTTTCCATATAATTATGATATCTGTCCAAGAAATATAGCAAGATTTAAATTATTATTTCCTTCTTGTTTGGTTTTCTGAACACAGGTATATTTTCCTTGTAGAAGAACCAATCTTTTTTTCATCCGAGCTTGTCGACATCATTTTGGGCAACCGAGTTTTCATTTTTCTGATTAACTTAACGTTTTGTTGATATGAGTCGTTAGATTAAGACTATTCCTAGCAGCTTGTTCGTCAAGCTCTTCCAAATGACGAAAAATGTAACATACTCGTATAATCAATAAATAGTTTAATTAATCAGAATTCTTCCTATCGGCGCTGATGTTAATATAGTGTACACCGTACTTTTTGGATGATATACTTCAATATCATAAATATTCTAACGTCAGTTCTACCAACGAGTTATTTCAAAATATCATTCTAGTTTTCATGATACGGGTGCAAAAAATACAAAAACAGTAACGTTAAGTTAGCAATTGCTATTTAAACTTAACAAAATAATGTACTCCTATATTTGTGGTTTATGAATACTGTTACGAAATAAACCCATACGCCGCTCCGGTACGACGCCTATGGGTTCTAGTATGTTCGGCTTTGATGATTCATTGTCGGTGACGGCGGCCGAAGAAGAGCCTAGAAGCGGTGACGGAGACCTTAGAGATGGACCGCGCGGCTGTTTAAATGAAAATCACCCTCGGGAGCAGTTAGTGTGGTCCAGACAATGGGAGAAGTCTAGCCAAATCCATTCCAGTCGAGTCGGATTTATTCTGTACATAATCGGTGTATAATTAGTCGTGTAAATTCGAGTTTTACCCACGCCGATTTTTGTTCACTAATCAACGTAACAATACTAAGGAGACAAATGAATTCTTAAGATAAAGTGTAAACCGTGATTCATCCCCATTATTTGCATCATGATTTGCGTTACAGATAACATGAAAAATACGTTTGCAGTTTTGTCATAATTTTAGGAAATTTCCAAGGCTAAGGTTACAGGAAGGAAGTGGTCGTCTTATCTAAATGCGTTAAGTTTCCGTTTTGGAAAATTTTACGCAATGCCGGTAACTTCTTCGTGCTAAATTATTTTTAGACTGTTACATCTTTCAGATCCTGGTTATACTGGCAAAATTGATTTTGGTACGGATAATTCTTTCGAATGTTTCGTTATTAATTAGTAGTAGATTATACATCAAGGGAGAGAAATGCATGATTTTTCGTGAGACGCCGTTTATAGCCAGAGGGCGAAGCCTGAGGACCACAAAGCGCAGAAGAAAAAATGGCATTTCGCTCCTGAGGCATATATGCAAGTTTTTGTACTCGCAGTTACTCCTACATAGTCTTTCAACTGACAAAAACACGATATGATTAATAAAATAGTAATCATAATAGCCTTAAGATCCTATGTCATGATAACAACAAAAATGAACAATGACTGTGATTTTTTTTCGATCAAAATGCAAAACGAAGATCCGCAAGAGATACATGATCCTGTTGAAGCTGCTGGACTGAATTTGTTGCCTCCTAAATTAAATTGGTTTATGAACTTATTTCTCTTCCTAGTGAGCAAATATTCTATTTGTCTACATAGAAAGCAAATGTTCTATTTCTCTCTCGATTTTGCAGTCATAGAAATCGACTTTTACTCCCACAAGCACAAACAATTAAATTATTATACATTATTATTTTTTGCCTCATCACCCATCCATTAATAAACTCGGCCCTTTTAAAGGCTCATGATGGATTTGATACTGTGTGTTAATCATTATTTTTGTATCGGCCATGTTTTGTCGTATTATGTACTCAAATTTAGAGAATTACACCCTAACTTATTAGCTTCTAACAGTTAAACAAAACAAGCACTATCAAAAGGAAATAGAAATCTATTGGAATCTGACATAAAAATCTAACACATCTTTTATTGACGCAATAAACTTTCCAAGGCACAACTACTGCACAAACAATTATGAGAATTGGTAACACTAATTAATTTTTATCTACTTCCAGTTCTGTCCTTGGGACATGAGAAGCCTGAAATTTTTTCTGAGTATGCGGAGACCAATCTTGAAACTGGAGACAACTTCACTGTGCTATGTCAGGGACAAACCCCTTTAAAATGGAAGTGGCCACTGGCTGAGGTAAATTCATCCAGATTAATAAAACATTGTTGTCAATCTATTTATTCAAGAACGAAGAGTATCAAAACTGGACTAGAATAAGCGAAATCGAAGTCTTACCAAAGAATGCTAACTACAAGTACGCTCGAAAACTTGTCATTCAGAATATTACCTACCCATATACTGGGTTTTATCAATGTTTAGATAAAAATGCTGACTCTTTTGACGAGAATCATGGAAGCAGTATCTACTTATTTGTTAAGGGTCTGTACATGTTTGAAATTAAACTCAATATCAATTTTTGTTTTTATAGATAAAGAACACTTGTCTGTTAGCGATGCACAAGTGGAGACTATTACAGTTACTCAGTATAGCGAAGCTATAATTCCTTGTAGACCAACTGCATCAGATGTGGAAGTAAGCCTTACTTCCATCGGCGGACAAGTAGGTAGTTTCAATTTTTAGGTATTATTCATATTCATACGCAATGAAAGTTTGTCGCAATATGTCGCATAATATTTCCCATCCTCTTAGAGTGCTTACGTAACAGAAGCAATGGTTGTCACTAATAGATCTTCTAGTTCAAATACCAGTACACTAATCTACTAGTTAAATAATCATACTTAGTCCCCCAATTCTTTTTCAAACTTTCCATGTTTGATTGTAAAACAGTTTCCCACTTTCGGCTTGCAAACCGGAAGCTTTTTATTGTTTGGATATTAACAGTCATATAACGACTAATACAGTGGATGTTAAAACGACTAATCTAATACCAACCTAAGATCACTTTAGGCGAAATCGACGAAGATGGAATTATGTACCGCTACGATCCCCACTATGGTATCATAACCAACAACACCAAAGACATCGGAGGAATCATCTTCCTTTGTTACTTCTCTCAAGATTCAAAAAAATTTAGTCGAACAATGATTTTGGATGTGGAAAGTACGTACCGTACGATAAGCAAAACCCCCATGAAAATCGCTCCAGGTTTCACAAAAATCCTTCCACATATAAGCCGTAAAATGAATTCAGACATGGTACAAGAAGACAAGGTATGCTACTCCAATGGATGAATTCCGTCTGCTTTGCGCACCAGCCACATGACGTCATCTTGCCTTGAAACGCTCTTCTGACAACTTCAAAAGCGGTCAAGTCTTAATTTGAGGCTGAGATTCGGTTCAGTTGAGTGTTTAATTATGGGTTAACTTATCTTCGAAAGTGCTAAGTTGAAATGAGATGCCAAAAACACGTGTTCAAAATTTGGCATCGTTCTTGATAGTGATAACACGAATATGCAACAAGCCAGAATTTAAAGTTGGCGATCATGTCATATACATGACGTCACACAATGTGCAATCATGTCTACTTGTACGATTGATTCAGATAGCGGTGTTGGTTATTTGGTTATATGACTGATTCAGAATACGAGCAATGTTATATTTATCTTAATGTCATTCGTAAGTAGAACTTGGTGTTGTATTTCGTGGTGGTAGGGCTTCTGTTAAGTACAGTTTTGCTTTTGCTTTTTTAATGGCGTCATTTCATGTGCACGGATGATTGTAGAAATCAATCACTTTTTGCCCAAACCATCGATGAAAGAGATTACTGGTGGTCATACGATAGTGGGCGATAAATTGATTCTGGAATGTAGGATTAGGTCGGAGACTTATGTCAATATCGTCTGGACGACGCCTACTGGACCACCTGATGTAAGTCCTATATATTTTCGGTTTTTCGTTATTTCACATGATTTTCACGATGTAGTCCACCCGTATGCGGTTGTCATCTCAAAAGAAGATTCCTGAACAAACAATTCTCACTCAAAACTTTATCATCAACGAAACTACTTTGCGAGATAAAGGTATGTACTACTGCAACGTTAGTGACAACCAAAACCATGCCAGTTTGGGAAGTTTGAATGTTAGGGTTTATGGTAAGTGAGCAGATTTTTTAAGCTTGTCGAACTATGAAAATTTTGTTTTTAGCTCCCACAGAACATTTTATCAATTTAACGGAAGATAACAATGTCTACACTATTTCGGCAAAGGCAGGTGATGATGCCGTGGTATGGCGTATCAACGTCGACGGCCATCCAGTGCCTAGATTTTGGTGGTTAAATAACAGGAACGAAATTATCATGGCGCTAAAGTCAGACAAATACGATGTAACCTCTTCTGCTACAGATACTGTTATAAAAATTAAAGATATATCTATAACAGATCATGGTAACTACACTCTAGTAGCGGAAAATGGTTTTGAAATTGCTACTATGTCTCTGTTTCTCAACGTGACGGATAAACCTCAAGTGCATTTAGAAGGTAATACCCATCACATGGTGGATGAAAAAGATACGATTAAGTGTACCTGCTATTGCAAGCATGCCAGTGTAGGAAGCTTGAATTGCACACTTTATAGTAAGTGGATAGTTTTTTTAAACTTATCCAACTATAAAAACTTTATTTTTAGCTCCGACGGAAAGCAACAATTCACCGATTTCGACAACGGCTGGTGATCCTAAGATAGATCCCTAGGCAGATTTCGTTGAAATTTCTTTTATATTCACGTGTTTACAAATGTTTACTTCAATTCAGATGCCCCTTTACAAAGCTGAGTATCCTGCAATAACTATTAGCCAACTCTTCTGAATGACCATCTCTATTTGACATACTCTATCCAAGAATATCTAGGAGCATAATTTGATAGATTTCCTATGTTATTTATATTTTACAAGTAGGTTATAAAATATAAAATGCGAAAATAGTATTTGTCTACAATACAAAACTTTAATTTTGTACAAAACAGTTAGTTCAGATGGTTTAATTATTATTGAAAAGATATGAAGAATATTTGTCATTTAAACATATTTTCTACAGATTTTACGTTACATGTTATAGTTTCAAATATAGTGTATAATATACATGTATGTATTAGTAACTATATTTAGTAGCACATAAATCCAAACTAAAAGTTAAGGTATTTTTATTGCTTAGAGGAGAAATAAAATCAAATAAAATTACATAAGTAAGGAAGCATCTAAAGTGATTTGTTTGCCCCATAGGTTCTAGTTTTAGGTAATCTAAATAAATAATTAGTATTGCATAAGTGAACAAAATACAAGATTTAAAACTTTAAAACACACAAAATTGTGTACGATGTTTTAATTGCCTGAAATTTAAAAAATGTGTCAGTAAGTCTTCTGGTTGTGAAGATTTAGTCTCGAAACAATTTTTAGACAATGAACTATATTGGAGTAGAAAATGTCTGCAAATGATTCATACGTCGCAATACTTCTGTAATACTTTTAAGTTGCCTTAATTTATAGCACTTTTGTGGCTTATTTAAATTTTAAATGTAAAAGTAAAACCGTATATAAAAACATCTGTTCTTACAAGCGGCAAAATTCTTTAATTTTCAAAAACTTAAAATTTTGCAACGAGTGCAAGATGTATGATTCATTTAAAGATTATTATTAAAGTTAGCACTTTCGTTTTGCGGGTTGATTTTGCATGATCAGATCACTTATAAACTATACAATTATAAATTAAACAAAACTGATATTTTTACAAAACAAGAAGAATGATTAAATATCGTCTGTTACCAAACTTATATCGAGAGAGCAATAAAAACACCATCAAATGCAGCCATAAGTTTTGGAAATTTTCTTTGATCGACGCATTTTCTACGCAAATTTTCAAATTGACGGTAATTAGACAAGACGAAAATTCTATCCCAGACAAATTTTTAAAAAATCTATAGCTGTTGCTGATTATGTTTTTTTCTGTCCTCTGGTAATAAAAACAACGAAAAAAGTACTTAGAGATAATTCAAAAATGTGCCAGTCTTATACCTGAAGAAGAGTAGTAGATTTTTTTTAGTATCGTAAAGGAAAACTTTTTACAGTTCTCAGACAATTCTTGAACAGGCGAACACTAGCATACTTGCATAATAAGCATAAATAGTACATATCATATTAACCATTTACAGTTGTTTGAAATTCGCACAATCTATGAAAATCTGACATTTTAGTTGGTAGTATTCTGATTTGTAGTAGGTAATGAATCTGCCAGTTTGCTACATTTTTCAAATAATCGAACAAACAGATTTGAAGTGTATAATTACAGAGCCTTTTAGAACATATTTTTCTCATCCTTAAGATATGGTCCTGAATCAGAATATCCCAACCAGGTAATGAATAGAGGAACATTAACAACCAAAAAATTAGCCAAAGATTTTTTTCTAATCTGAAGCAATTACTTAATTATTATTCTCACATTTTAAAAGTGATTTCAACTATAAAATGGCAAACTCGAAGCTTGCTTGCTCATTTATATGTCTTTTGTCATAGTTAGAGAGCGGATTTTATGAAATTTGCATATCCGTTAGTTTTTGCATATAAGTCTTGATATTTAATATGTGAACGAATCATGCTAATTAAAAATAAATACAGTTATAAAAAAATTGCATATTTGCATATATTTGCCTTCTGCTGCATATTTCACGTAACGTGTGCATATTTTGCATTTTTATCAATTTTTGTGCTAATTAAAAAAAAATGATTGTGATTCTATTGGCATTTATCTAGAAAGACGCAATTTTATGAATCATATTGCAAATATTGCCCTGAGCTTCAAATAATTAGGAGAGGTTTGGGTTTTGTGGTAGTTTGGAGAAACCACTGGGTGTTAAGCTATCCTTCCGGGTAAATTCGCGCCCTAATTACTTTTGGAAATAAGTTCATTCCCAATATTTTTGTTCCTTACTTCAGTGTATTAATGGTATGTTTTGTGGTTGTCGAAGGGATGTTATCCTATTATTTTTCATCGTGAGTTAGCATTGAAAACATTTAAAGCGATACAGGTGTGTCAATATGTCGATGATAACTAAAATTAATTTATGGATTAAACCTTTTCCTGAACTTATTCTTCAAGAAGGAACTGTGTTTTGTCGCGCCTGCTCTTGACCGGTAAGTATTTTTACATCTGTGGACCTAGTACGCAGTTTTTCTATTTACAAATACATACTATAGAATCAGCGGAAAAACTTTTTGTTAGAATATTTCGAAAAATATCTAAAAAGAAATTGTTATCAAAATTGTAACTAAATAATCGATTACTATTATTTTTTAATTTGTTATGTTTGTATTTATTTTTTAGTATAAGAATATTATTACTAAAAGTGCGCTTTATGTGTTAGTGAGATGTACCTTAGTTAAACACTTTGCAATGTGATTCATGTATTTTTTGTAATAAAACGTAAGTTCAGGAAACCTGTTTTTGTAATTTGTAAATAAATTTAGTTCGTTTATTAAGCTTTTTTTTTAATTTTTGGAGCATATGCAACTGCATTTCTCTGCATATATTATGAAAGTTACTGCATATTTGCATAAATTTGGTGCATATCATATGATCATATTTCCCAATATTTTGCTGCATATTTTCCGCTCTCTGGCCATAGTTCTTAAAAAAACCCATGCCAAATCAATTGGGTTGTCGTAGCAATAATATGGGGGTAATCTAAGAGATTCATACACGTTGTCATGTAAAATTCTATCTATAACATACTATATTTTTATTATTTCTGTTGCATAGAAGGTGTTTTTAATTCCCAGAACTGGTTTGTATAGTAAAATTTTCTTCAAAATGTATGTGGTGTTTAATCAACCATTCCTGCATTTTTGCTTAAGTAGAAAACGACCTGGACTCCTGGACCCTGGACAGTTTTTTCAATTGCATTGAGTATTTAATACAGTGCATTGTCCATTATCACAATACACTTATATGGTCGTCTTACTAAATCAGGAATTAATTGATTGATCACCCATGTTTGAAATATTTTTACATTCATTGTTTTCTGATAGTCTCGGTCATTATTCGCTGGATTCAGTAAAAGATCACATTGGTTCTTTCAAAAAACCAAACCGACACCCTGCATGTAAGATGGTATATCTTTCGACTTCAGTTTTAATTTTTGAAGGATTACTTTTAAAAACTTTTTCGTGAATCCATCTACGAATGTTGCGACGTTGTTTGGTATATCCACCTTTCATCAACATCTGCAGTAATAATGTTTTGGTCAGAATTTTAATACTGTAGAAATTTTCGGAAAAAAAAAACAACATTTTCGGTGCCATAACATGTTTTTGTTCACATAGAAATTTATTGTGGTTAAATGTCACAGTAAATGTTGAAAATCTTCACCATTTTGTCAAAGGCACATATTCATTCTGTTTTTAATTTCATGGATTATATTTCCTCTAATGTAAACCTCTAACGATGTTTCTTGAATTTGCAAATCAGTGTATTTGGCCAGATATTCTTGTTTACAAGCGATTGAAAGCATTTGGTTTTGCAAAATGTGGTTATATAATTTTGTTTTTTTTTTCAAAAATCTGGACATTTCGGGTAAAAACTCAATACGGATTAATAAGCTACACGTGTAGGACTATGTTATTTTATACGTTTAAAACACATTAAGAAGTTCCTCAGACACTGAATGTCTTCCAGATTTCCCTTTGTTGACACTGTCAGTTCGACATTTCAAATCATCAAAAACTTTATCAGAGATACTGAAGGGAGAAGATTTCGCTTTGTTGAGATCGCCAGTTCGAACAAATCTGTGGATTACATTTCCTCTAATGTGAACCTCTAACGATGTTTCTTGAATTTGCAAATCAGGGTATTTGGCTAGATATTCTTGTTTATAAGCGATTCAAAGCATTTGGTTTTGCAAAATGTGGTTATATAATTTTGTTTTTTTTTTCAAAAATCTGGACATGTCGTGTAAAAACTCAACGCGGATTAATAAGTTACACGTGTAAGACTATGCTATTTTATACGTTTAAAACACATTTACTATGTATAATTTTGAGCTGATGCATCACGTTATTGGGATGTTTAGACAAAGTTTGGTTAGCGTTTTATTGTCTACATGATATTCCTAAGATAAATACAAAATTTGACAACAATCGGACCAGTACTTTCGGATGAGATTATCTGCCTAATAAAAATCCGGGACGGCAGACAGACAGACGTACAGACTGACGGATAGAAGGTGGAGAAAACGTAAAAGTAGAGAGTCTAAAGAATCGGCCGACGGACTCGATTACAGTACAATACAAGTATCCGTTCATATTCGAACTAACTTAGTAAATACAAAGCAAAATCTGCAAAAAGTGGAGTCCGGTAAATATGACGAAGATGCCAAGAATCTTCTTATCGTAACAAACTTTCACACTCTTCGAAACAATTCAAAACAACGCTACATTTTTATGACTTCCACCCAGATGCACATGTGTTTGATTAGTTGCCTAACCTCTGATTAAAACATTCTTTCTCGTCGGACAGTGGTTACACCTACTTTCGAAAGACCCAGCGAACACGCAGGCAGTAGTTGTAGTAAACCCTTTACCAAACACGTGAGATTCGAAATCAGGTGTTATCAAATTGACTTGTCAAAAACAATTAAAATAAAAAAGCCGTGAGTGTGTGTCTTCAGTAATGGCTTCCATACCTTTGTCTTTTATTGTCTTTTTCTTTTTGACTTTTTCACTTTTCGGTAAGTACATAGTCATAATGTAGATATTTAAATAGGAATATTGTCGATAGGAGATCTTCCGTATAATTATGTTATTTGTCCAAGAAATATAGCAAGATTTAAATTATTATTTCCTTCTTGTTTGGATTTTTGAACATATTTTGCTTGTGGAAGAACTATTCTTTTTTTGAGCAACCTAATTTTCGTTTTTACTGATTAACTTAAGGTTTTGTTGGTATGAGTCGTTACTTTAAGACTCTTCCTATGAATGCTATTTAAATTTAACAAACTAACGCACTCCTATATTTATGGTTTGTGAATACTGTTACGAAATAAACCCATACGCCGTCCCGGTACGACGGTTATGGGTTCTAGTAGGTTCGGCTTTGATGACTCATTGTCGGTGACGGCGGCCAGAGAAGAGTCTGGACGCGGATGTCGCGAAGGGTGTTCGAGAACGGGCCCAGAAGCGGTGACGGAGACTTTAGAGAACGACAGCTCTTTAAATGGGAACCACCGTCGGGAGCAGATAGTGTAGTCCAGACAATGGGAGAAGTCTAGCCAAATCCATTCCAGTTGAGTCGGAATTATTCTGTACATAATCGGTGTATAGTAGGAAATAAATTGTGGAGTTTTACCCACGCCGATTTTTATTCACCGATCAACGTAACAATACTAAGGAGACAAATAAATTGTTAAGATAAAGTGTAAACCGTGATTCATACCCATTATTTGCATCATGATCTTTGCATTACACACAATATGAAAAATACCTTTGCAGTTTTGCCACAATTTTAGAAGATTTCCAAGGCTAAGGTTACAGGAAGGAAGTGATCGCCTTATCTAAATGCGTTTCCGTTTTGGAAAAATTTACGCTTTACCGGTAACTTCTTCGTGCTAAATTATTTTTAGTTTATTTAACATTATAAACTGATAAGGTTAAAAATCTAGAGCGAGTGTTACATCTGTCTTTCAGATTCCGGTTATATTGGGAAAATTGATTTTGGTATGGATAATTCTTTTGAATGTTTCGTTATTAATTAAAATTAAATTATTATTATTAAAGACATTATTATTTTTTGCCTCATCATCAATCCATTAATAAGCTCAGCCCCTTTAAAGGCTCATCATGGACTTGACATTGTGTTAATCGTTATTTTTGTATCGGGCACGTTTTGTTGTATTACTCAAATTTAGACAACTAGAAGCTAACTTAGCTTCTAAACAGTTGAACAACACAAGCACTATGAAAAGGAAATAGAAGTCTTTTCCATTTAAAAATCTAATACATGCTTTTATTGACACAATAAACTTTCCAAGTCGCAAATAGTAGTGGACAAACAATCATCAGAATTGGTAGTACTAAGTAATTTTTATCTATTTCCAGTTCTGTCGTTGGGATATGAGAAGCCTGAAATTCTTTCTGAGTACACGGAGATCAATCTTGAAAGTGGAGACAACTTCATTGTGCCATGTCAAGGGCAAACTCCCTTGAAATGGAATTGGCCAATGGTTCAGGTAAATTCAGCCAAAATCAGCCCCGTAGCTAGAAAACTTATTCAGGGGGGGCAAGTTTGTCGACAGAGGGGGCTTCATGTAAATATATATACATGTTTTTATAATACTGCTTTATTTTTTCTCAGTTTTTACATTTTGAAAGAACATTAAAATAATTGTAAACGTCGATTTTTTACGCTATTAAGTTTTCGTAAAAACCTGTCGAAGTCCAAAGAATTAGTACGGTACTTTTCAAAAGCCAGAAAAACCAAGTTTGCCAATCTTTGATGCGTCATTGAACGCGCCGGACGATTTATTCCGGTTAAAATAGAGAATGTAGATTCACAAGCAGATGTACTGCATCCAAAAATTCGTGCAGTGGCCAAAAACACAAAGTAACAACCAATTTGTTTGAGTTTATTGTTAGATATTAGAAAAGGGCGACCCTGTAGGTTTGTCATGACAACAAAAAAGAACACATGAATAATTGTAAAAAAAGTAATGAGCTGTTGTTTTTTTGTATTCTGTATTTTTGCCTTGTATTTCCTAAAGTTCATTAAAGCTTCTACGAGCACGTACCTCTTGACTCCTTTTGAGTTGTGGACGGGCAAGAAGCCCAACGTTAGCTATTTTAAGACTTTTGGTTGTCGTGTTTTGTCATTAGAAGAAACCAAATCAAGATAATTTCCGACCAAGAGGTAAGGAAGGCGTTTTCGTCGGATATTCAGAAGAAGTCAAGGGATTTAGAGTATGGTTCCCAGAAGAGAGAAGAGTATACATAGCTCGAGACGTAAAATTTATAGAGAAAATAGATTTAAAGTTGAATGATGACTGTGAAGATCTCGTTCTTCAAGATCTGGAAGAAGGAGACGTCATACCTCCAACTTCCACGATTGACGTTCCCATAGATCCTATGATCGAAGACAATCGACAAGAAATCCAAGATAGCGACCAGAGAGCAGCAAGTGAAGAAGAGGGTTCTGAGAATGAACATTTCGATCAAGAAGAAGCGGCATCAACTAGACGTGGTCCAGGCCGTCCGCGAATCGAAAGAATTGGCTTGAAGGGAAGACCTCGAAAACGATACAACCTCAGAACTGAAGAAACCACGTTGGCAAGCGAAGCACCAGTATTTGGTTTTCTTTCCGAAATTCCATTAGATCAAGCGTTGAACGGTGCCGATGCGAACGAATGGTTTAAAGCTATCTGCCAAGAAGTAGAAAGCATTGTTAAAAATGATACTTGGAAGATGGTACCGTACCCCAATGGAGAAGAGATCATCGGGAGTCGCATAATTTTGAGAAATAAATACAAATCTAATGGTATGCTAGATAAAAAAAAACAGATTAGTGGCACAATGTTTTAACCAGAAGCCAGGTGTACATTTTAATGAGACGTTTGCTCCTGCAGCTAGAATGAGCTCTATACGTCTGCTCGTATCCTTGGCAGCAATTCACGACATGATGATTGAACAGCTCGATGTAGCGAATGCTTACCTGAATGGTACCCTCGAAGAGAAGGTCTTCATGAGACCTCCAACCAATCTAGCTAATATTCTTGAGTCTATCATACAGAAACGAGGCCGATCAAGTGTAGTCGGCGAGAAAGCCGCAAGAATGTTGGAAGACTTTAGGGATGGCAAGCAGATTTGTCACCTACAAAAGTCCCTGTATGGCCTACGCCAGTGCGGTAGAAGCTGACATATGATGCTGGACAAGGTATTGCTAAAACTTGGTGCGATTCCAACCAACGCCGATCCGTGCGTATATTGTGTTGGACGAGGGGAAGATGCAACGATGGTTGTTATTTATGTCGATGACATACTGATAATGTCAAGAGATTCTAACAGAATCAAGCAATTTCGAGAAAAATTGTGCAAGGGGTTCGAAGTGAAGAAACTCGGTAATGTTGGCTATTGTTTGGGAGTCGAGTTTGAAGTTGAGGAGTCAAAGATAACTATGCACCAAAGAGGCTACATCTTAGACCTCCGCAAACGTTTCGGCATGGAGAATTGCAACCCGATATCAACTCCCATGGATCCGCAAACAAAGCTCGTCAAACCAACGACCGCTGAAGAAGTGAAGAATTTTCCGTATAGCGAATTGATAGGTGGCTTGACATATTTGGCCATCACGACTAGACCTGACATCAGTCACGCAGTGAGTTCCTTGGGACAGTTCAATAACTGTCATAGCAACGTCGATTGGACAGCAGCGAAGTGAGTGCTTTGATATCTGAGGGGTACTCTGAACTATGGTCTTGTGTATACAAACTGCCCCGTTCCTGTAAGAGGCTATACAGATGCCGACTAGGCAAATTGTGCTATTGACAGACGATCGTATACTGGATACGTCTTCATGTTAGCAGAGGGACCCATTCCGTGGGACTCCAGGAAACAAAAAACTGTGGCATTATCATCTACAGAGGCTGAATACATGGCATTAACAGAAGCAGCCAAGGAAGCCACTTTCATTCAGAAGTTCCTGCTGGAGTTAGGGTTCGCACAGTTGTCACAAATGGTGCTATTCAGTGACAACCAAGGCGCATTGAGACTGGCTCAATATCCGGTCTATCATGCGAGGAGTAAGCACATCGCACTTAGACATCACTACATCAGAGAAGTGGTGAAGAATGACTCATTAACTATACAACATGTCCCTTCGGAAGATATGATTGGTGATATCTTCACCAAGGGTCTAGCAAGTATAAAGCATGGTTCCGTCACGGAGCGGCTAGATCTAGCACAACCCCGGGTCGAGGGGAAGTGTTCGATATTAGAAAAGGGCGACCCTGTAGGTTTGCCATGACAACAAACAAGAACACATGAATAATTGTAAAAAAAAAGTAATGAGCTGTCGTTTTTTGTATTCTGTATTTTTGCGTTGTATTTCCTAAAGTTCATTAAAGCTTCTACGAGCACGTACCTCTTTATTCGTAATATTTATTTTATTGCATGTTTCGTAGTAGGCTATGGAATAAAATGTGACATGACAGTTGCTTGTTTTATACGGTCAACATTAACGTTAGGGTGATATTGCCAAATAATATACCCTGTAAGAAAATAAAGGGTGGGTGGGTGGGGCTAGTAAATATGCTTCAGCAATCGGCATTATATTGAAATTTTATTACTAAATTGAAATTTTTAATGTGTAAGTCTTCCAGGGGGGCAACCACAACTGCTAGGGGGGGGCTCAGCCCCATCTTGCCCCCCTGTAGCTACGGGGCTGGCCAACATAATAAAATATTGTTCTCAATCTATTTATTCAAGAACGAAGAGTACCAAAACTGGACTAGAATAAGCGAAATCGAAGTCTTATCAAAGAATGCTAACTACAAGTACGCTCGAAAACTTGTCATTCAGAATATTACCTACCTATATACTGGGTTTTATCAATGTTTAGATAAAAATGCTGACTCTTTTGATGATAATCATGGAAGCAGTGTCTACTTATTTGTCAAGGGTCTGTACATGTTCAAAATTAAACTCAATGTCAATTTTTGTTTTTATAGATAAAGAACACTTGTCGGTAAGCGATGCAGAAATGGAGACCATTACAGTTACTAGGTATAGCGAAGCTATAATTCCTTGTAGACCAACTTCATCAGATGTGGAAGTAAGCCTTATTTTCTACGGTGAAGGAGTGGTTAGTTTCAATTTTTAGATAGTGTTCATATTCATATGCAATGAAAATTTCTCGCACTATGTCGCAAAGTATTTACCATACTTTCAGAGTACTTACATAAGAGAAGCAATGTTTTTCACTAATAGATCTTCTAACTAAAATACGAGTACACTAATCTACTAATAGTTCAATAATCATACTTAACCTCCTAATAATAGTACCATCCCTGCTGCACAACCACCATTAACTCAAACTTTTCATGTTTGTCTATTCAACAGTTTTCCACTTTCGGCTTGCAAACCGGAAGTTCTTTATTGTTTGAATATTAACACTTATATAATGACTAATGTACCTAATGAATGTTAATACGACTAATCTAATAGCAACCTTAGATCCCTTTAGGCGTAGTCGATGAAGAAAGAATTATGTTCCGCTACCATCCCCACTATGGTATCATAACTAACGACACCAAATACGTCGGAACAACCATTTTCGTTTGCACCTTCTCTCGAGATTCGAAAGAGTTTAACCAAACAATGATTTTGGATGTGAACCGTACGTATCGTACCATAACCAAAACCCTCACGAAAATCGCTAGATGTCTCACCAAAATGATTTCGACAGGGTTTTATATTAGTTTTTTTTTAATGTCCACGTATAACCCGTAAAATGGATTTAGATAAGTATGTTGATTATTTAATTGATCAGGGCCTATACTGTTGCAATTTTTTATTAAGTTCAGAATACGAGCAATGTAATATTTATTTTAATGTCATTAACCATAACTTGTTTTTGTATTTCGTGGTGATGGGGCTTGTGTCTAGTACAGTTTTGGTGTTGGTTTGGTGTTTGTTTCGCTTTGGCCTTTTTAATGGCGTCATTTTATGTGCACGAATAATTGTAGCAATAATTCGCTTTTTCCCCGAACCATCGATGAGAGAGCTCAGTGGTGGTCATACGATACTGGGCGATAAACTGATTTTGGAATGTAAGATATGGTGGTCGACTGATGTCAATTTCGTGTGGACGACGCCTACTGGACCGCCTGATGTAAGTCCTATATGTATATTTTAGGTTTTTCGTTATTTCAAGTGGTTTTTAACGATGTAGTCCAGTCGTGTGCGGTTATCAGTTCAACAAAAGAATCCTAAAGAAAGACTTATCAGTCAGAATCTTACCATCGATGCAACTACTTTGAAAGATAGAGGTATGTACTATTGCAACGTTAGCGATTACCATAATCACACCAGTGTGGAAAGCTTATATGTCATACTTTATGGTAAGTGGATAGGGATTTTTAAACTTATCCAACTGTAAAAACTTTATTTTTAGCTCTGACGGAAAGCAACAATTCACCGATTTCGACAACGGCTGGTGATCCTTAGACAGATTCTTGGGTAGATTTCGTTGAAATTTCTTTTGCATTCACGTCTTTACAAATGTGTTTGAATGTTTACTTAGTCGTTTATAAGAAATTTTAAGGGGTGATTAAAAAATACTTCATTGTAGATGTTCCTTAACAAGGCTGAGTACCCTGCAATAACTATTAATTGTTGCAAAATAACAAAATAAATCCACTTAGTCAACTCTTCTCCATGACCATCTCTACCCGACGTACTTTATCCTAGAATATCCGGAAATATGATTTGAATTTTTTTTTAAGTTACCTCTATTTTATATTTGCATTATATGATAATTTAGTCACAATAAATGTACCTACACGAAAATTACTCTTTAACTAATTACACACACAGTCACACACGGTAATGAAGTTCAACTTCAGATTTTTGGTAATATAAATTTACATGATAAAAGCCGAAAATGGTATTCGTATACAATTCAAAAGTTTAATTTTATACAAAACAGTTAAGGGGGAACGCTAGACGAGAGATAAGTTTGAATTGGGCGCCATTTGTTGCCTTAAACGCAACCAGCAATTCTTCTTTAAATCTATCTGACGCGCTGGGATAGACGACTAAGGACGTGTGTCATAAAAACATCCTAAGCCGATAATGCAGAATAATGATAATTTATGACAGGCGGCCCACAACATACCTTCAGCACAGAATAATCATTTCTCGTATTCTTTTGACATATTAATTTTAATATTCGAGATAATTATTATATTATTCAAACACAATTTAGACACTGTAGAGCAAACAAGGCTTATCAAGCCCGTCTATTAGTTTATTCGCCTAAATGTATTATTAATACCGTTTTCAAATTACACCAAAATTGAAAAATCGAAAAGTTAATAATTGAAAAATTGAAACATTTTAAATGAAAAAAATCGGTAAACCGAAAAATTGAAAAATCTATAAATCGAGAAATTGAACAATCAAAAATTAAACAATTTAAAAATCGAAGAATTGGAAAACCAAAAAATCTAAACCGAGAACTTAAAAAATCGAATAATCGAGAAATGAAAACATCAAGGAAAACAAAAAAATTAACGGAAAATCTAGAACTTAAAAATTGAAAAATTAAAATACCTATCGAAAAATTGAAAAACCCAGAAATCGAAACATCAAAAAATGGAAAAATTGAAGAACCGAAACATTGCAAAATCCCAGAACTGAAATACTGAAAAATTGAAAAATGGAAGGAAAATTGAAAAATCGAAAAAGTGAAAAAATTCAAAACTGAAACATTGAAAAATTCAGAAATCGAAAAATTGAAAAATCACAATTGAAGAAAGAATTGAAAAATCGAGAAATAGAGAAATGGGAAAATCAAAAAATCAGTTAATCGAAAAATTGAAAAATCGAAAAATTTAGAAACGTCAAAAATTGAAAACTGAAAAATAAAGAAATTTAAAAATCGTAAAACTGAAATATCGGAAAATTGAGAAATCGAAAAATGAAGAAATTAGAGAAACCGAAAATATGAAGAATCGAGAAATCGAAGAATCGATAAATTGAAAAATCTCAATAGTAATATGTCGAAAAATTGAGAAATCGAAATCGAGCAAAACTGAAGTAGCGTAAAATTAATAAATTGAAAAACTGAAAATTTTTGAAAAAAAAATCGTATCAAAAACTAAAAATTCAAAAAATCGAGAAATTGAACAATCAAAAAATCAAAACATTGAAATCCCAGTAAGTTGATAAATAGGAAAATTTAAAAAACAGAAATTTTAAAAACCCAAGAATTGAACAACAAAAAAAATCTAAGCCTGAAAACTGAGAAAATCGAATGATCGTGAACTCAAAACATCAAAGAAAACAAAAAAATCTAAAATTTAAAAATTCGACAAATTGAAAAATCATGGAACTGAAAAATCGAAAAGTCGAGATAGTGAGAAATCTAAAAACCTAAAACTTTAAAAACTGAAAAATTAAAATATCGAAAAATTTGAAAGCCGAGAAAACACAATATCAAAAATTTGAAAAATTGAAGAAACGAAATATTGCAAAATTCCAAAACTGAAATATTGAAAAACCTAAAAATGGAAGGAAAATTAAAGAATCGAAACAGTGAAAAAAATCCCAAACTGAAACATTGAAAAATTGAGAAATGGAGAAATGGGAAAATCAAAAAAATTGGTCTAAAAAGTTTAAACAATACTTCCCTCGCTATCGGAAACGTGACGACTGCATGCCTATTATGTTTTTTTTTCACATTAGATTTCAAAGCATTCGGTTTTGTATTTCCTGATTAAATCAATAAAATAAATTTGCGCATTCATTAAATTTTTTGAGTCACCCTGTATATCCGAATCCAAAAAATATGAATGGAATGATAAATTACAAGAAGAGACTCATCATATTTTGTACATTTTAAATAGGATTATACGGCAAACATTTGAGCTGACGTCATCAATTTTTTGGAGGGGATAAGCAAATATATTTTGACTAAAAATTTATTATGCTCTTTATAACCTTAAAACATTTGCAAGATTTCAAAGCATTGGGTTCTGTAGTTCCTGATTAAATCAATAAAATAAATTTACGCATTCATTAATTTTTGGGGTCATCCTGTATATCCAAATCCAAAAAACATGAATGGAATGATAAATCACAAGAAGAGACTCATCATATTTTATACAATTTAGATAGGATTTATTCATCAAAATTTTGGGGTGGCGTCATCCATTTTTTAGGAGGGATGAGCAAATATATTTTGATCAAAAATTTACCATGTCTATGATAAATTTAAAACATTTCCAAGATTTCAAAGCATTCGGTTTTGTAGTTCCTGATTAAATTAATAAAATAAGTTTGCGCATTCATTAAGTTTTTTGAGTCACCCTATATATCCGAATCCAAAAAAAATGAATGGGACAATAAATTACAAGAAGAGACTCATTATATTTTGTACATTTTAGATAGGATTGATTCAGCAAAATTTTGAGGTGACGTCATCAATTTTTTAGAGCGGATACGTAAATATATTGTGATTAAAACGGTCCTGGTTTAATAATAAAAAAATATTGTTCGTCTATGAAACACGCTCGTCTTAGACAAAGTATTCGTAAAAAAAATATGTCGTAAAAAAAATGTACGTATGCTGGTCCCGACTGCGATTATGGTTTAAATATTTTTTAGAAAATCCTGTCATGAACGTAGAAACATCTGTGACAGCTAAAGAGGTTTTTTTGAGAAAATTATCTTTGAATTTAGACCAAATTGAAATAGACATTAGGCAACAGGCACATTTGGCCAAAAGAAATTAGGGTCACGGCTTCAAATTTTGGACGTATTTTCAAACTTAGACCGACTACAGCAATAGCTAACACTGTGGAGTCTCTGTTGTACAGTACATTTAGAGGTAATAGTCATACATTCTATGGACAGCAAAGTGAGGAAAAAGCTGTCAAATGTTTTGAAATAAATAAAAATATAAAAACTGAACGGTGTGGCTTGTTTATTTCAAAACAATTTCCTTACTTGGCTGATAGTCCAGACAGGGTTCTAGAGGATAGGAGGGCATTAGTCGAAATAAATGCCCTTCAAAATCGCAAGATTTGTCCCCTGAAGAAGCGGTTAGAAAAAAAAATAATCAAATTTTGTACATTGACAGAGAATTTAAACTAAAAAAAATCATGATTACTACTTTCAAGTCCAGGGACAAATGCTTGTTACGGGTATTTCACAAGTTTATTTTGTTGTGTGGACACTCAAAGGAATAAATATAGAAAAAATTTATAAAGACGAAGAAATATGTAAAAAGATGGCAGATAAACTTGGCAGATTTTATTTTGGCGCATTATTGCCCGAAATAATTGATTCAAGAAGAAAGAGGAACCTGTCTTTGCGAGAGATTTTTTTTAAATAAATAAAATTTGTTTCTATTTTTTATGTACTTTAATAATTTATTAGGAGTAGATTTTTTATCACCAAAACTTGCATATTTTTTTATAAGTAAATTTTGAAAATGATCTCTCGGCAAATGAAAACATATACGAGCACTTTTTTCGAGTAAACAATGAAGGGGGAAGTTACTGGGCGTAGGGCTTTTTTAAAACACCTCCTTTCTGGGATAAGTAGTAGATACACTTAGCTACTTAACACGTGTTAAACAAATGCTGTATTTTATATATTTTTTATTATTATTATAAATATGTTTATTAGTTTTATTAATTAACAAAGCAAAATATATATTAACAATATATTACAATGAATTTTTAGTAATCATGTGTATTGAATTCAGAATCCTGAGTGGAGTAAAAATATTATAGTTCCCCAGTTTTAATTCGGTTTTATGATAGTACCTCATTGCGTAAAAGTTAATTTCCTTATTAACAATAGATTACTACGGCCGGTCCTGGCGGCTTGTTATAAAACTGAGTTCCTTGCCATAAATTAGAAAAATCAGCCGAGAACTCTAACAATTAGCCTATGGTAGAGCAGGCGATAAGGGTTTTACCTGGAAAGTCATTTCCGTAAATTTTAGTGGCGCTCCTATCGGCAAAGTACTGAACTAACTGCTCAAATTCTGTCAAATTGATACCCATTTTTTTCAATAATTGTTAGTTTTTGTTAAAAACTCTGCTAACCAATAGATCATTAATTTTCCTCTGATATTCCTGTTAAAATTATTCGACGTATTTTGCATTAATTTGTGGTATATTTTGATTTTAATAAACACGTTATTATTTAAACAAATTATACCACTAACAAACATTTAATGACTCTGCGACCTGTAAAAAGTGATGTTTTATCCATGTGCTAATTTTCAAGCGATTCTATGATGGTTATGACTGAAAAAACTTGAAAAGAAAATATACAATGGTGCTTTTTTACGATATTTCTCAGCCATATTTTTTTAATTGATTGAACTGGTCTCTGCGCTCTAGAATATGAAAAAAGCTGCAGTTTGATGTATGATACATCTATATTAATATCATTTTTTCATACAAAAAACCAAAAAAATGTTATACCTCGTCTAGCGAGTCCCCTTAAGATGATTTAGTTATTACACTGAAAAAGAGGTATAAAGGATATTTGTCATTTAAACATATTTTCTACACACTACGTTACCTGTTATAGTTTGAAATACTTATAGTGTATAAAATACATGTATTAGTATGTTTAGTAGCACACAAATCCAAACTACAAGTGATTTTTCTGGATAGGGGAGAAATATTATGAAATAAAAATATATAAGCAAGCACTAAGTGATTTGTTTCCCCCATAGGTTCTAATTTCAGGTAATCTAAATAAATAATTAAAATTTCGTATGTGAACAAGTTGTAAGATTTAAGACTTTAAAACACACAAAATTGTGTACGATGTTTTAA